CCTGGGTATGACTATAAACTACATCCGGCAGCAAGGCCTCTGATCGGGAGATTGGAGGTTTTGAGGAGCGTGGGAACACCTCTTAATTGCTAGTTCTGGGTATGATTATAAACTACATCCGGCAGCAAGGCTCTGATCGGGAGATTGGAGGTTTTGAGGAGCGTGGAACCACCTCTTAATTGCTAGTCCTGGGTATGACTATAAACTACATCCGTCTGCAAGGCCTCTGATCGGGAGATGGGAGGTTTTGATGAGCGTGGAACCACCTCCCTAATTGCTAGTTCTGGGTATGACTATAAACTACATCCGGCAGCATCGTGGAGGCCTCTGATCCTGGGCGATTGATCGGGATTGGAGGTTTTGTGGAGCGTGGAACCACCTCTTAATTGCTAGTCCTGGGTATGACTATAAACTACATCCGGCAGCAAAGCCTCTGATCGGGATATTGGAGGTTTTGATGAGCGTGGAACCACCTCCTAATTGCTAGTTCTGGGTATGACTCTAAACTACATCCGGCAGCATGGCCTCTGATCGGGAGATTGGAGGTTTTGTGTAGCGTGGAACCACCTCTTAATTGCTAGTCCTGGGTATGAATATAAACTACATCCGGCAGCAAGGCCTCTGATCGTGAGATTGGAGGTTTTGATGAGCGTGGAACCACCTCTTAATTGCTAGTCCTGGGTATGACTATAAACTACATCCGGCAGCAAGGCCTCTGATCGGGAGATTGGAGGTTTTGAGGAGCGTGGAACCACCTCTTAATTGCTAGTCCTGGGTATGACTATAAACTACATCCGGCAGAAAGGCCTCTGATCGGGAGATTGAGGTTTTGAGGTTTTTGTGGGACGTAAACTACATCCGAACCTGATCGGGAGATTTTTGAGGTTTTGTGCCTCTGATCCTTGGGTTTGTGGGGCGACACCTCTTAATTGCTGTTGTTTCCATGTTAACCCTTACCCTTGTTGTTAACACGTGTTATATTCCCATGCTATAGTTAAATAGTGACCCCACCCAAACCAACACAAAGCAGCATGAATATTTACTTTTGTTCATACTAAAGATAACAGCACCAATACCTATGTACTGCATTATATTTTCTATTAGAATTACCAATAATCCTTTTTATAACAAAATTACCAACAGTATATTTTATCATTGTAGTTGATGTCGTAATTTTTGTTTAAAATATTTAGATTTCGTTATTAAATAACCCACAGAAGTGTTTATATGCCGCTAAACAAAATCAACCATCCCACCCACCGATATTTTCTTCAGAGGCTTACGGCCACATCACGTTGAAACATTGTTTCCTTTCCGATTACGGAAGTTAAGCAGCGTCGACCTTGCTTAGTCCCCAGACGGGTGACCATTAAGGAATATCAGGGGCTCTAAGCTTAAATATGCGGGTGGTGTAATGGATAATGGCTCGGATTTTTTTATCGGAAAGTCGAGTTCCAATTCCAGTTGGGTTTGTTATATCCACTTTCGCGCAAATAACCTTGAGGAATGTATGAATCCACCTCTTCTCCCACATATACGTGTTAATTATCAAGACATGTATTACTAAACCAAAAAAATAAAATTATTATAATCTAAAATATTTTCTGGCTTTAAATAACTTGCAAAGGGTTGATAAGCCGTAGAAAGTGAACCAATTGATCAAGAAATTCTTTTTATAAACAATTTTTATCTACTCATGCATAATTCGCATTTTGTGCCAATTAAGTGCATTTACGGCCTTGCTGTTTTAAATAAGAGCTTTTTAAGCTAAGTTAAAATTTCTGAAAGACTTGTGTGACAAACCCTTTTTTGCGTTTAATTTTCATTCAAACTGTCTTTAGAGTTTCTAGGGTCAGACCTATTAAAAGATGATTGGATAACTGAATCTAATGCTCACACCAGACCAATTGATTTTAGCCGTACAAATAATTGCCGTTATTCATGTTAAAACAGAATTTATCAGCTACAACCAAGGAGAAATTAAGTTGAAAACGGCAACAACATCAAATCCGTCCAGGAATTTATTTATCTCGGTCGCAACAGCCATTCAACAGAGCAAGAGACATCAAATTCCACAAAGGCAAGGCCAGGGGTGCCCTGGATGGTCTGGGCCCTATCTGGAAGTTCTTCCTCTCTGACAATCTTAAGAGGGACTTCTTGAAAGCCACGGTAGAATCTGTCTAGCTCAACGGCTCAACAACATGGACATTGACGAAATACTAAGAAGCATCAACTGACGGAACATACACAAGGATGTTACGCGTTGCATTGGACATCAGTTGGAAGAAACACCCAACAAAGAAAGGCCTGTATGGACACCTTCCTCCTATCTCAGTTTCGCTAAGAGAGAGGACTTTAGCTAGCTGGTCACTCCTGGAGAAGTAAGTCGGAAATTGTGACACCCTCCTATGGAACCCATATTGCGCGGCAAAAATCGATTGGAAGACCTGATCGCACCTACTTGTAGATGACTCTGGGTGCTATCTGAAGGACCTGCCGGTAGCGATGTCTGACAGATATGATTGGAAGGAAAGAGTCAGGAAAATCCCAGAAGAATTCTCGACCTTGATTCATTGATTGAAGGTTTGGTTTCTTTTTCTTTATCGGGGTTATCATCACGTTTATAGTTTAGCTGAAAGCGCCTGGAACCATCAAACTCCTTAACAGGTTTTAGATTCATTAAGTCCAGACAAGACACTTGTATGTGTACAAGAGAAACTGATGTAATGAATATGCTACCTGAGTTCCCCTTCACAATTGGCTGGTGTCAGCCATAAATACAGACTGATGTGGAGGTACATGGGGACACCTATTGCCTACGCCTATTGCCTACGCCTATTGCCTACCAATACGACGAGGACCAGTCTATTACGGTTACCTGCTAGATTGTCCTACTCATTTAAAATAATCCAAAACCACTTTGCTACTTCGATCATAGCAAGAATCTTGTACGTCGTGATAAATATATATATATATATATATATATATATATTTATATATATATATATGTGTGTGTGTGTGTGTGTGTGTGTGTGTGTGTGTGTGTGTGTGTGTGTGTGTGTGTGTGTACGCCAGTGTGTCTGCATGTGCGTATGTGTGTCTGCGTGTGTGTTCAGGGAAGACTGAATGTACCAACGTCTAAGCTGAAGGATCGTTTCTTTTTTGTGTGGTTTCATTTTTTTTTCTTTCGTGAAATAATCTCAGTTCCTTCGAAAAAAGCCAGAAGGCATGAGCGCTTTATCTCCCTAATCAAACTGAGCAGTCTCTTTGAATCATGAGCTCCAAGAATGGCGACTTGACCTCGGATCAAAAATATCCAGCATCGGGCTTTGTTCCGCGTATCAATTACGCATATTTTATTCCGCGAGTAAGACAGATGTCGAGCTTGGCGATTAGCATTAACCGGAAGTGACGCGTGCATACACTCTGCGACCGGAAGCAGGAAACCCCAGCCAAAAACGGATCTGGTTTAACTCGTTGCTCCGAACTCTTCAAAAGAACCGAAATCATTTTTTTCGAGAATCTTCCAAGATCGTAATTCTCTCTCTCTCTCTCTCCCTTTCTCTCTCTCTCTCCCTTTCTCTCTCTCTCTCTTTCTCTCTCTCTCTCTCTCTCTCTCTCTCTCTATATATATATATATATATATATATATATATATATATATATATATATATATATATATAAAATAGTTTAGTTTTGCAAAGTTACAAAGTTTGGTAAATAAATAAGAAATGAAAAAATCGAAGTCCTTTATGAATTTTGTAATCAACAGCTCGCCTTGACATCGTGTGAGCGTTACCAGAAATATCGCCGAAAATACCGTGATCACAGCATATATATATATATATATATATATATATATATATATATATATATATATATATATATATATATATATATATATATAAGAATAATACCATGGATATCTATATTTGCACTTTGTTGGATGGCTAACATCGTTGCTCTTCAACACCAATATGGGTGATTTTAAAACAATGGGAATACTTAATATTCATTTTGAATATTGGCGCAGCATGATCTTAGTCAAAATTAGTCTGTATTGCAGCGTTATTTAAAATGATGAACTGGGTATCATTTTTTTTCTATTTAGGGACGTGATTTTTTTTTTTAATTTTATTCGGTCGACTTTACTTATCAGGACAACCCTCACGGTCATCCGTCAAGGTCGGAAAGTCATTTGGGAGGCATTCTGTGTAAATGTAAATGGATACTGAACGACCAACCTATCTTATATCCATGGCTAAGTGTCCAAAACACTAGATCTCACGAGAGGTCTTGTTTTCCCTCGCCAGAAGTCTCCTGCAAAGCACTTTCTGCGTAAGATTGTAGATGTATAAGGGATGGGTCCATAGTGCTGAGATTTAGTTAGATATTGTCGCCAGAAGATATTAAGTATAGCTCTCAGCATCCTAGTGTATGTATCATCAAGCTTAGACTCTAGGATTTTAATTAATGTCCAAGAAATGGCATCATAAATTAACACAGCCATTACAGTGGCGTGAAAGAATCTTCATTTGAGGTTGTCTGGTACACAAGATTTCAAGATTACATCCGTTTTAGTCATGGCGGCCTAGGCTTTACCTATGCAAATATTTCACAACCTTTTCAGAATAATTTATTTCGTTTCCCAGGTATATAAAATAGTTAACAGATTTTATTGATTGGCCTGAGACAAATTTTATTGAGGCTTGATGATTGAAGTCAATGAATTCAATTTTAGAGGCATTATCACAGAGAGTCTAACATCGTCAGCAGCATTTTCCTGATGATGTAAGAGAACTGTGGCATTAGTAATGGTGTCTTCAATGATAGCTACGTCATCTGCATAGTAAATATCAAATCTTTTTGCAGGATATTGTCTGCGTTGATCTCAAAGAATTTATTTCTTCTTCTGGGGACCTAACCAAAGATTTGATATTTTTGTATCGCGTCATTATGGCAGTTAATTTTTATGAATTAAATTTATCATTTTTTTTCAGTGTGATTGTCCCATTCTATAAATTAATTCTTTTCTTTCATTTTTCTTTCTTTATATTATTTCTTTCTTTCATTCATTTTCTTTCATTTTTCTTTTTTCATAGACTTTTCTTTATTTTTCATTTTGCTTCAGTTCTTTTTTTTCGTTTTTTCTTGTTTCATGTTTTTTTCTTTTCTTTCTCTTTTAATTCTTTTCTTTCATTTTCCTTCAATTTTTCTATTTATCCTATTTTTCATTTTTACTGCATTTCTTTTTTATTTCCTTTCAACATTTCTTTTTTCTTTTCCTCTTTTTCAGTCGTTCCTTCTTTTCTTCTTTTAATTTCCCTGACTTTCTTCATCTATATTTTTCTTTTTTTTTCTTCTTCAGTACGTACATTTTTTCTTGTATAATTACTTCTTTACATTAGTCGGATCCTCATCTTTTATTTGTCACAACGTTTCGGCCGTTGTACGCTCCGGCCTTCTTCAGGTGGTTGGAATTTCGAACTGAACCCTTTATTTCGATCGCTGGGGTAGACTGTTCTAATTCCACGTGCCATGTTTGATGGATGTCAGTTATCAGTTATCTCCTGCTAATTTTCCCTCTGAAAGTTCTCCACTGCCTTAACCAGGAATTGAACTCACCTTCTTTGGGTCTGTCACTGGATCTAACCAACGCCTTTATCCACTGTGCCATGTGTCCTTTATCGAAATAAAGGGTTCAGTTCGAAATTCCAACCACCTGAAGAAGGCCGGAGCGTACAACGGCCGAAACGTTGTGACAAATATGGCGACAAAGATGAGGACAATAGTCCGACTAATGTAAATACTGTACATAATACCTCATCTCAGAAATATAGACAGATACTGAAAGGCCGAAACGTTGTGATAAATATGACAACAAAGATGAGGATAATAGTCCGAATAATGTAAATAGTGTACATAATACCTCATCTCAGAAATATAGACAGATACTGAAAGGCCGAAACGTTGTGATAAATATGACAACAAAGATGAGGACAATAGTCCGAATAATGTAAATAGTGTACATAATACCTCATCTCAGAAATATAGACAGATACTGAAAGGCCGAAACGTTGTAATAAATATGGCAACAAAGATGAGGACAATAGTCCGAATAATGTAAATAGTGTACATAATACCTCATCTCAGAAATATAGACAGATACTGAAAGGCCGAAACGTTGTAATAAATATGGCAACAAAGATGAGGACAATAGTCCGACTAATGTAAATACTGTACATAATACCTCATCTCAGAAATATAGACAAATTACTTCTTTGTTTAATTTTTCATTCATTTTTTTACTTTTTCTTTCCCTCTTTTTTTCTAGAAATTATCTTTCCTTTTTTTTATATCTTTTATTTTTGTGTTTATTTTATTTTATTTTTTTTTATTCATTTTTGGTTTTATTATTTTCTATATCATTTATCTTACATACAGAATAAATTTGTTTCATATTTTTCACGTTTATTTTTCTTTTTCTTTTATCTCTTTCACTCATTCATTTCATGCCTTTTTATTTATTTCTTTCTTTCTAACGTTTCTTTTCTGTTTGTTTTTCTCTTTTTTTTCTCTCTGTTTTTTTTCTTTCTTTCATTCATTCATTCTTTCTTTCTATCTTCTTTCTATATTTCTCTAATTTTTTTTACTACCATTCCTTTTTCTCTCTTTTTCTATTCCCTCTCTTTCTTTCTTTCTGTCTTTCTTTTCAGATGCTCTTTTTTCATAGCATATTCTTTCTTTTCTCTTTTTTTTCGTGATTGGGCATGTTTCCTTTTCATATGTTTTTTCTATATTTCTCTATTTTTTTACTACCATTCCTTTTTCTCTCTTTTTCTATTCCCTCTTTCTTTCTTTCTTTCTTTCTTTCTTTCTTTCTTTCATTCATTCTTTCTTTCTTTTCAGATGCTCTTTTTTCATAGCATATTCTTTCTTTTCTCTTTTTTTTCGTGATTGGTCACGTTTTCTTTTTCATATCTTTTTCTATATTTCTCTATTTTTTTTACTATTATTCCTTTTTCTCTCTTTTTCTGTTTCCTCTCTTTCTTTCTTTCTTTCTTTCTTTCTTTCTTTCTTTCTTTCTTGTCACTAATTGAACCCTTTTCGTTTTTTTTTTTCCTGTCTTCCTCTCCACTTCTTTCTCCGTTTCAATCATTGTGGTAGCTTCCTCTTTATTCGCACCTGGTCTCCATGGCAACATACCGGGGAAGACATGTTTTCTTTAATTCCATACAATTTTACAAGCAAACGGAACAATCCAATATGGCCTCCCTCTCCTTTCCTATTTATTATTACTTCATTTTGACTCTTGTAAATCTTTGCTTTTCCACAGAGACGGAAATACAAGTTGTGGTTTCTGTAATAATTCTCCAATTTAGATGATGATTGTTGCTTTTTTAAGCTGCCGTTTTAGCTTTTCTTCGTGTTCTCTTTTCCTGTATATTTTCTCTTCACATCACGATGCACGGAGTTTTCTCCTAATTCTTGTTATTGGTCGTATTATTAATGCGCTATTTCGAATCGGGTTTTTTTTCTTCTTCGCCTTGTTAGGCGTATCAACCATCGGATTATTCCGAATAACTTCAGTATTAATGTTTTCAGATCATTATTTAAAAAGAAAAACATATATTTATTACTAGCAAATGATAATACTATGATTACAAACAGAATGATATATATTACTTCTAATTTTACTTTTTTTTTTATATATATATTCTATGCATATTCACAGCAGTAACATATGATTGTCCAATATTGTGATAATGGCTCGGAATAAAAACTCGGATATCTGAGTTCGAATTCCAGTCAGGTTTGTTATATCCACTTATATTCAAATTGGCAATGTGTGTTTCCGTTTTGATTTACAAAGCGTAGAAAAGATGTGGCACAAGGCGAAAAGTATGGGGCACTTAGTGAGGATCGAAATCAATGCTCAGTGAAATTGTTCTAGTGAGACAATGTTGCTAACCATTATACCACATTGGAGTGCTCATAAATGATTTTCTAACTGTAGGTTTTATATATATATATATATATATATATATATATATATATATATATATATATATATATATATATGTGTGTGTGTGTGTGTGTGAAAAGTATATATATATATATATATATATATATATATATATATATATATATATATATATATATGAAAATATATATATATATATATATATATATATATATATATATATATATGTGTGTGTGTGTGTGTGTGTGAAAAGTGTATATAAATATAAATAAATATATATATATGTATAATTATTTATATATTATATGGCGGTATTTATTAGAAAGCGCTCAATATCAGAGATAGAGCTAACATATTTGTTTGGATAGATGTGAGTTTAGACCCTGGGTTTCACGCTTTTGTCTGACGATCGCAAATGCGTGAAACCCAGGGTCACAAACCCACATCAATCCAACTATATATATATATATATATATATATATATATATATATATATATATATATATATATGTTACATTGGAACATGCAAGTTACCGCGACCAAAATGCATATTTGTTTCGACGTCTAAACACATCTCGCCAGGCGGCTAACAATGGTGGTAATATTCCTGTCCGCCTTCACAGTATAAAAAATTACTAATCGACAACACGTCTATTCTACACAATGAAAACAACAAATTCAGATTACAGATGTTAGAAGCAATTTATATTTTTAAAAAAATTAAAGCCGGCCCTGAACAGAATCAACAATGAATAATGCAGTAATGTTCTGAAATGCCTATAAAGAAACAGTTTTTTTTTCATGCTTTAATGTGCGCATGACCTTGACATTATAACATAGAGAAAAAATGGATAATATTTTCACGTTCTGATGTACCCTCGGTACAATGTCAACCGTTTTGCATTTAAAAGTATAATGAAAAAATTACGGTAATGGATAACAACGCATAACTTTGTATAAATACTTATAGTAATGAACAACACATAGTTTTTGTACAACTTGCATCCCTGAAGATGATCCTGGAAGAAGATCGAAAGTACTTGGGAAATGAAAATAAAAGAAATTTAAACAGATATAGCACATTTATTATCAATAGACGGAAGGTTCTTCGTGAGTATGAACGGATTTTTATTTAAAATTATACATAATGTCTGTAATTTATTCAAGCAGACATGCCTAAAAGACAATTTGTTGCCTAAACACACACACACACACACACACACACACACACACACACACATATATATATATATATATATATATATATATAAAAGTTCAAATAAAAATATATATATTATTCTGAGAGCATTTTCCAACTTATTCAAGATGATCTTTGCTCTCTCTAGCTTTCTAACATTCTGTCCTGAAGTAACAAATTGCCTTACACGTTTTACGTCCGATGTACTGTTACAAGTTTTTTTTTTTTTTTTACTCTTCTTTAGACTGTCATGGCTGAAACTTCACTCTCACCTGACAAACGTTTTATGGATTGAGTTGGATCTTTTCTAATTGGCCTCTTTAGCTTTCAATTGAAATGATGATCTCTATTCCTATTGTGACCTCTTGATCCAGTTTTCCTCGCTACTGATCCTTCTTTTTAAATCTTATTCACCATATAATATATATATATATATATATATTTCTATTTGAAATTTTCCGTATATATATATAATAAAATTGTAGTTAAATTGAATGAATTCTAACCTAAATTTCTTTTAAATAATACTACACGCATTAAAAAGAATCCAAAAATAACACCTATAGTAAAATAAAATTAATATGAAATACCATAACATGTAAGCTTTTGAATGACCCATGTCCTCAGTACTTACATGTGAAATATTATAATAGGTTTATATATAAAAAGAAAAGTTTACTGAATCAGTGAAATTAAGTAACCATTTCTGCTGTCATAGTCATATACAAAAAAAAAATGTAACCTCATATACATACTTAAACTTAATGTTAAAATAATCCTACATAATATAATGGATTCTAATACATTTAACTGTTTTTAAAAAGAATATAGTAAAATAAAAATTAAAAGGAAAATATTTCAAATCGTAGTTAAATAAAAAGTATTGTAAAAAAAATCTTTAATTTTAAAAGATGACGTTGAAAATTTTTTACCGTTAACAATTTTTTTTTTTTTTTTTTTTTTGAATTCAGACGACATCCATTCAACTGACGTCAGGTTTCAGTGTAAAATACATCCTCACCCCTTTACCAAAATGTAGCTAATAACTGATACAATGATACTGTCATAAGGAAAATCTAGACACCCCGTGTTCAATTTGAGTAGAATATTCTGTAACCATGGAAACGTGATTTTAGCTGTGTATTTAAAACCCGGTAAATTTTAAAAGTTACTCCAAAATTCGCTTGAAGATGAAATAGAACTAATGCTTTTAATTTATTTGCAAAATAAAATTAGGGTTTTAGCTTCTATTTTTGAAACATGGTTGGAACTGTGTAGCGAAAATAACCATATTTTAAATCAATTAATTTATAATATATATATATATATATATTTTAAATAGAAGTAGATAGGGTTTCCTACCACCCGGTTAGTACTCCTCCCCATTCTCATGAACATGGTAGAGGCTCATCTCTTGTTTCTTATTTCAGAAGGGGTTCTTTGATCTTTTCTTTTTCTCTGGCCTTAGCAGTGATTCTGTCATGTATCGATTGTGATGTGTGCGGTTTGTGGTAACGTTTCTTCAAAGTGGGGGTACCGGCTTGGCGGTTTTCTGGGTGCTGTTTCCGACTGGTAGTTAGGAGCCCAAACTCTTGTGTAGCGTCTCGAGAGGCTGCTCTGATCAAGAGTTTTATAATATCAGGGTTCTTGCAGTGCGATGTCGCGCATGAAATGGTGTCCCTGCACACACCTCCGGGCGGCAACCCTGAGACCTCATTATGTTGCAGTCTCTGCCATTGTCTTTGTGTCCATGTCACATACGATTACCTTATTCTATTATTACCTCAGGACTTTTCCTTAACAACATAACTCAACATGACCATATACAACCAAAAATATAAACCGAAACCAGCTCAAAAAATCACCTTTATCATTTCCTTCTCCAACATTTGTGGCATTCGTACCAATTTCTGCAAAGTGGAATCGTTCCTCATCGAATAGTCTCCAGATATACTAACTCTATGCGAGACTAACATTAACACATCAAACCCTTCTTCTGATTTCTCGATTCTTGGCTACCTTCCTCTCCTTAGAAAAGACTCTAAAATCCACATGCCTGGCCTGAGAGTTTCTGTCGCGATTATCTCCCGATGGTCAGGGAATTCTCTTTGGAATCTACAGACCATTCGTATATGTATCTCCTGTTATCTCTCCTCAATTCAGTAAGCTGTCTCTTTCTCCCTATCGTTTCCATTCCTCTCAAAACTGTACTTCCGATAATATAGACAACGCCATCTCTCTACATCCGTTTACACACATATTTGTATTACACCCACCATTAAATTCTCCGGAAATAACTTCGTTGGAATGCAAACGCTTAAATTTTCAATCAATCAATCACTCAGGCAAATGGTTGAATTTCCTACAAATATTTTCATGGCAACTGCTCTGACGAGCTAATTTCACTGGTGTTCTGACTGAATGAATTTAAGCGTGCTACTAGGTTGGCAATTCGGTCCCATCCTTTTAGTGTCGAAACAGTTAAAAGTAGCTGCCTCTTCTACACCAAAAACCTGCATTTCTCGACAATGGAATTCCTTTCCTCTTACTTGCTTCTCTGATAACGATAATCTTCAAAAAATCAAATGTAATGTCAATCGACATCTTTTGATGCCTTGATTTTGATCCCCGTCCTTATATTTATCCTTTCCTCAAACACGCCTCTTTTACTCTCACTCTCTGTAACCCCTCCCTCTTTACTCTTACATTCACTCTCTGCAGCCCCTTGCGTGCTAGTCGCATATATATATATATATATATATGTGTGTGTGTGTG